CAGCTGTAATGGATGCTAGGAATTAACCACCAGAGTTTTTAAATTTTAAGTAGATGCTTATATTGTCACAGAAATTATAGCATAACTCATAAAGAATATCAAAATTAAATCCCCAGAAAACGATGCAAAAGATGTGAAAAACGTCAATGAACCGGACCACAGAAATTTCAAGAAACCGGAAAAAAGGCGATGGGCTTTATGTTCAGCGAAACAGGAAGAGGAAACAAACAAAATCGCCAGACAAATTTTCCGATTCAAACGAAATAGAGGGGAACAAAAAGGAAACAAACGGAGATGAAATTGGCTGTCGCATTTCCCTAGGTTCGGAAAATCTGGAGCCTACGCAGTCCGCCTGTTCAAACATAAAGCAGCAACGGACGTCCCTTAAAAAATCTGCGGCCGTAATCATCTGGATTCACCTTTATCACGAAAGAGCGTTAGCAGCTCGCCCCATGCATATCTATCAGGCTCTAATCCAACAAGTGATGTGTGGCGGTAAAGTAAAGACATAATGTCGTTCACCAAAGAAGCTTGAAACTTACTATAGACCTGGATGTCGCAAGCCTAAATTCACGCCTGCTGGATGTTAGTCGAACGAACGGAATTTTGTAGGAAGTGATTCTGGTTAAAAGACCCGAAGCGACGTTTGAGAATCAATCACCAAACTCGCCGCTTTAGAGCTATGTGAACACAATAGTAAAGGTAGCACCAAATTCCGTAAATTAACCTACCATCAATAAAAGAAGGCAGGGCTGTGAAGCAGGTTTTCACTGAAAGATACCTTTGTTGGTTGGTCCAGGGAGTCCCTGAGTCCCCTGATGAAACTGCAAAGGAGAAATTCCAGCACGATCTTTTGACACTCCAACTTTTAATAAATGACTTTTAAGAACTTGGTAAGGTGGTTGGACTCCTTATCATTTTCCGTTTTTTGCTTGTGGTGAGAGATAATGCAGTAGAGATGTTATCGAGACCGCTGAAAGTCGTCCTGCCAAGCAAGCAACAGGCAGATCAAATCTTGTCTCGAGAATTTAGGCCACGAAACGACCATCATGGAGTGTTTTATTAGCCGCATTAATTTTCCACCGACCGAACGAAAAGGAGGGCACTAGTAGCAGAACTATAAAAGTATCAGAGCCAGAGAGAAAAGGTCTATTCTGCAAACACTAAATTTATAAAACGGAAGACATGATTATACGGGATTATCCGGTGAAATTGATACTTACAACGCCCGTCATCATTTCCATCGAACATTTGTGAATTTGAAGACAGTGGACTCATGCTGACGGATTTTAATTTAAATGCATAGATCGAAACGGACGCAGTGTTTGGGGAACCGCGATGCTCATACGGGATGGCACTAACCACGTCACGGATGGGTCCTCACCAAAAGAGAACGCTGGTTGCAATGTCCTATGTTGTAAATTTGAAGTACCGAACCCATCGAACCCCCAAAATGGCATGATATACTGTCCCCCAGAGAGCTGAATGACACGAACGTTACAATCATCACAAGGTTAAGCACATCAGCCGTAGCAAGTTCGTAATATTACTTGCAGA